GGAACTGTGCAAAATCATATGTGAATTGTCCTTTCACACAGTAGGTTTCACACTGGAAAACTGACTCATCTCTTAGGTCACCATAGGACTATTCTGTGTCAGACTGGGAGAGTGAAAGATCTCAACTTCCTCATCCCTTTCAGGGAAGCAAAAACAGTGGGTTTTTTATACTGATCAGACTCTGCCTCACTGATACTCTTAACTTTTCACCTTTGAAAATCTAACTAGTAAAAAGAGCAGCCAAAAATCACAATGGACTAAAAGAATCCCTTATCTTAAACTAACTGTAATCTTGTGCAGCTCAATGGGCTTCTGCTTATACTGATGTTGAGTTTGGAAGAAACTCTAGAACAGAATAGAAAATTTTGGCCACTTATATAGCAACAAATGGAAGAGAAATTTAAAAATGTTACAGGTTTCAATATGTATCAAACAATACCAAACAAGCTAGTCATTCCAAACTTATCCAGCAACCCTAAAAACCTACACACCAGTTAAGAGAGTCATAGACTCCATCAAATGTAGCTGTTCCTGTCTAATGCAGTAAGATATTGAGCCACTTCTGGAGTGATCTAGGAAACAAGATGATACTATTTGCCATGCTTCCTATAAATGGGTGAAGCAAGAAGCAGAAGCGCATTTAAGACAATCCCATTTTGAGTCATTTAACACATTTGCAGAAGTGTTATATGTTATTTGGTTATACTACAGTCTCCCTGCTGCACCCATCTTCAAGGTGGTTGCTGATTAAAGCAGGAAGCTTTGAGGGAGACCGGTTGATGATTCTTGTTAAACTGGATTTTCCAAGCCCAATGTGAAATAAAGAACTTTGTTCCTGCCCTTTTAAGAGCCAAATTCCAGCTCTGCCCTCAGCTGCAGAAGCACAGGTACCACTGGCTCACATCTCGCTCTCGGTTACTTTACATAACCCCTTTCAGTGCACTAGAATTAGCCTGCATTTGTGACAGCTAAGCTGGAAGATATTATTTTGGGCAGAGCTCTTTAAAGTGCACACACAGGAATGACATGGTATTGGAGTATATTTTTTTCCAGCTTGTGCTCAGGGGAGGTTTGTGTCAATATACTAGATACTCTGATCAGAACAGGTCAGAGTAGTTTCCACATGTTAAGCACTCCCAGCTTCTGACAACTTAAGTATGAGTTATTCCAGCTCAGAAATGTAATGAATTTTTTTTAAAAAATATTATTTTATTTTTCTTTCTAATATTTTTAAGACTTATCAAATACCTTTGATTTTATATAGCTTATAAATTAATCTCTTTTACCATAGCAACAGCCACTGCACCTTATTGTCTAAGCAAAACCACCCAGCCACACCCTAACACTGCTTGCATAAATCGCTCCATTTGTATCAAAAGTTTCAGCATTTATTAGCCCAAATGGGAC